GGCGAAAGGGGGGGATGACAAAAAGGGGGTTTGAGAATCAGCTCACGTAGCTGTTTTTCGCGGCGCCTCCCGGCGCCGGAGGCGGCTATGTATCGAGGAATGGGCGCTCGGTGAGGCCGATACCAGCTGCATGCAGCAAATTTCGTAACCCCCCCTTCCCCAATCCCCCCCTTTCGCCCGGCCCGGTCCTCCTCCTCCTCCTCCTCCTCCTCCTCCTCCGGCCGATCAGAGGGGCGCCGTCTCACCGAGCCCCGTCGCCACTGGGCCGTGGCATCTCGACCCCACCGTGGGGAGAGGTCCCGCGACACCCGAAGAACGCAGCACATGTCCCCGTCCAAAGGGGGCATAGTCGGCCAGTGGGGCAGAGGCCATGCCGGCAAGGATGGGGATCGGTCAGGAGGGAACCCAGAGGGCTACCGAGCAGGAGAGCTCCGAGCAGGAAGACAAGCACGAGGAGGAGAAGGAAATTCCTCGAGCCTCTGGGGGAACCAGAGGCTACCGACACCGCTGCTCCCGGGACCTCTCCTGCGGTGCTCTCTGACCAGAACTTCGAGGCGAATCCAGCCGAGGCGACGAGGGCCTCCCAGAAGGCCCAAAAAGGTGAAACTGATGCAGGTTGGATGCTCGTTCTGGGGACCTTCCTGGAGCCACTCGCTCCACTCGTGCGTCGAAGTTGCGTCGAACGTCCGTCGATGTGAGTCGACCCTGAGTCGAACCTGAGTCGAACTTGAGTCGAACTCGAGTCGAACCTGAGTCGAACTTGAGTCGAACCTGAGTCGAACAGATCCAGTAGGTGGGCCCCAAGAAGGTCCCCCAAACGAGCATCGGATGCAGGGGTGCCCGTTGGTCGGACGAAGTGGGTAGAGCCACGAAGCAGGAAGGCGTTGGAGGTGGCTTGGGCTGCCGCGCGCCTCCTGAAGAGGAGCGGAGAGGAAGCACCGCGCTCGGCTCTTGAAGTAGAAAGGCGCCTGAAGTAGCTTGAGATCTGGGGATCCAGAACTATATGTCAGGGGGGCGTAAGACCCGGGTACAGGGGACTCGGAAATCCCCGAGGAGGTCGTCAAAAAATGACGAGGCCGAGCCTGCATTTTGAGGGGGCCTCCCGCTGCAGACATCCCACGAAACTCCTACTCGTCAAAATCCGAGTCGCGGTCGTCAAAAAACGATGGCGAACCCGAGTCCTGGCAAACCGGGGTCTTACGCTCCCCCAAATATGGTCGGACCCAAGACAAGAAAACAAACATCTTTCCAAAACATGAGACCCTCCGCCGGCCAACCTGAAACACATTCTAGGGTGCCCTCCCCCAGGATGCACAAGACCGTCCAACGAACAAGAAGAACACCGTCAGAGCGCCCTCCCCGACTCGCCCTAGATCTCTTGCACCTCGGTCCAACTGGACCCACTGTCAGCGACCGGCGTGTCGGCTGACCAAGAGTTGAGCAAAGACCGACCGTCCCGGCATTCATATAAGCCTACCGCGGAGTCTTCTCAGAATCCCTGAATGTTCTGAGATCAAAAGCACTGTTCTTAGACTATAAGTCCGATGTGTCAACACAAGACAGTCTCGACCAACACTGTTCTGGGAGCATCTCGTGCAGACCACAAAAAAGTCTTCGAACACTCTTTGGTGGGCCTACAGTGCGGGCGCGGCCGCAAGAAACCCTCGCAAGAAACCCAACCCTGAGAACCCGTGCGCGAAGTGCACCTGAGGGGAATCCGGGAGCGCCCTGAACGCAGCAGCGTCTTCAACGGCTGCGGGAAGTCACCGCACTGTGCGAGGAGCGAAGAAACCCAGGATACCCTGACGAAAAACACATGGTTTCGTGATGCGCGCCCCCACTGTCGGCTTATGTCGGGCCCGCCCCCCTACAGGGGGATTTTCGACGAAAAAATAAAAATACCCCCAAACTAGTCAAAACATACTCCAAAAATAATCTGGGGAGTATTTTGTGAATATGTTTTGACCTTTTTGGAATATTTCCCTACCTAGGCTCTGCCTAGAAGGGTTCTTACTCTCTTAGCTTAAAGGGGCCGGGCAGTGCTACACGCCCCGGGCGGTTCCCCCGGTCCCCTGGGAGCGGTTCCCCCCAGTCCCCTGGGAGCTTTAGCTTTAGCTTTAGCTTTAGCTTAGCTTTAGCTTAGCTTTAGCTTAGCTTTAGCTTAGCTTTAGCTTAGCTGTAGCTTAGCTTTAGCTTAGCGTTTCGCTTAGCTTTTCGCTTAGCGTTTAGCTTAGCTTTAGCTTAGCTTTAGCTTAGCTTTAGCTTAAATGTAGCTTAGCTGTAGCTTAGCTTTAGCTTAGCTTTAGCTTAGCTTTAGCTTAGATTTAGCTTAGCTTTAGCTTAGCTGTAGCTTAGCTTTAGCTTAGCTGTTGCTCAGCTTTAGCTTAACTTTAGCTTAGCTTTAGCTTAACTTTAGCTTAGCTGTGGCTTAGCTTTAGCGTAGCTTTAGCTTAGCTTTAGCTTAGCGTTACTGTTACTACTAATGCTGCTTTCCTAGGGGTTCCAACTCCTAGGTACGGTCGCACTGGGATAATTTGGGGTATTTATATTTTTTCGTCGAACATCCCCATGTAGGGGGACACGCCCGACAGAACTGTAGGCAAGCCGGGACGCTTCGCCACAGCTCCACGAGGGGCGGGCCACCCGTCTGCCGTGCCCGCGGAGAGGCACTCCAGCACCTGGCCGGCGGCCTCGCAGCCCTCCAGCGCGCACGCGCTGCAGAGGTCCTCTGGCGGTACGTGCTCCGCCTGCCCCTGCTCCTGCTCCTCCTCCTCCTCCTCCTTCTCCCTCCTCCTCCTCCTCCTCCTCCTCCTTCTCCTCCTCTCTTCTTCTTCTCCTCCTCCTCCTCCTCCTCCTCCTTCTCCCTCTTCCTCCCCTTCTTTTGTTCCCCTCTCTGGTCCGTCCTCATCCTGCTGCGCCCCATCGCTCTCCCGCGCTTGCTCATGCATCTTGCCCTGCTCTTCCTCCTGCTGCTTCTCCTCTCCCTCCTCCTCCTCTTCCTTCTCGTGGCGTTGACCAGGCAGCAAATGGGGAGTCGCCGCCGTCGTCGTCATCGTCCTCCTCCTCCTCATCCTCCTCATCCTTCTCCTCCTACTCATCATCCGCATTCTCCGCCGCCTACTGCTGCTGCTGCTGCTCCTGCTCCTCCTCCTCCTCCTCCTCCTCCTCCTCCTCCTTCTCCTCCTCCTCCTCCTCCTCTCAACTATCACCCTTCCATTCCTCCTTACCCTCCTCCTGCTCCCCCTGCCGACCCTCTTCTCCTCCACATCCTCATGCTGCTCGTGCTGCTCTTGATCCTCCCTTTCTCTTCTTGCTGCTGAGGTCGCAAACCCTCACAGTGCGCCACAAACGCCCCATCATCGTTGAACCGATACATATCCCTACTGGCGTGGCCTGGGCCCCACTGGCCTATTATTCAACCCCACATAGACTGTTCTCTTCGGGTTTCGAGGGGCATATCCCCAACCCGGGTGGTGGGATGGTCGGGATCAGGATGGGGATGGGGATCAGTTCAATATTGAAGATATCAGCCCCAATAACAAAGCCCCTCTCCTTCTACGGTCGGACCTCGGACATAATACCATCCTTCAAGAACATGAGCCCCTCCGCTGGCCAAAACACCCCAAACCATAAGATCACTCGAAGGTACGTACCCTCCCTCAGGATGTACAACAACACCAACACACACGAAACACACTAGGGCCTCCTACCCTGACCGACCTCGATCTTATCCCTCGGTCGGACCGCAGTGGAGAGCCTTCCGTCGTGATGACAAGGCCACACCGCGTGCCACCTGTCCTGCCCGTGTCTACAGACTGCGTGCTGCGAGAGGCCCTGCTTTTGTAGCCGCTCCGCCAGCGCCTCATGCGCGTCGGGCTGCTTCTCTCGGCGGGGAGCCTCGGGGGGAAAACTGGGGGGGCCGGGCCATCTCAGTTGGGCCCGAATTAATGGGGGGGCGATAAGTGAAGGGCAGCGACGGCTGCAGAACGGTGCCCTTCAGGGCCCCTAGAGGAGCCCTTGAGGGCCCCCGAAGGGGCCTTGAGGGCCCGAGAAAGGCACCTTTCACCCCCCCCCCCCCCCCTTATAGTATCGACCCCCCATGATTTCGCGCCCAACTCAATTGGGGATCTACTCACCCGGGTCGATCCGAACCCGGGTCAGTCAGGCTCCGCAGGATCCTGCAAAATCCTGCAAGATCCTGCACCGTAGCCAGGGTCCATGCACCCCTGGCTTTGCAGGATGCTGCAAGATCCGGCGCTCTTGCTGACCCCCGCTTGCATTTACCTAAAACGACGCGAAGACCGGGACAAAATCGGATCGGGATAACTCGAAATCTCTGAGAATCGGCGGGTTTGGAGGATGTATTGGGCGCCGCGGCTGCTCCAGAGCGTTCCGGGACGCTCTGAGAGCGCTCCGGAACGCTCTGGAGCGATTTATCCCGATCCTAGCCCTGCTTTATTACCCCCGTCTCTGGAACCCCCACCTGGAAGGCTTGGAGGGCCTTCGGCCGCCTGCGCAGTGTTCCGAGCCTTCTCTGAAGACGCGGACGGCTTCTCTGCTGGCCGCAGGGCTCCCGCGAATCCCAGCCGGCCTCCTGTGGAGGCCTGCAGCGGCTCGTCCCTCCCTCACTTCCCCCTGGGCGCGCCACACGCAATGGAGGACTGTTACTTGCCCTAGCTGTTCGTCCCCCCGTATATCGGGGGCGGCCAAGAGGGGGGGGTCCAAGAGGGCGGGTGGTGCAGTTCATGACCGGCGGCATGTGCGAGGACCAGGGGGGGCCAGGGAACATCTTGAATTGAGAAGAGGCGCCACAAAATCTGGGGAGATCTCATCGCCCACGCCATGATATCCACCCCCTCCTCGTCATCACCCCCCCCTCTTGGACGCCCCCGAGTATAGACGGCCTCTCTGAAGGCCAGACAGGCTCCCGAGAGGCCCAGCCGGCCCCTCCCGGCGGAGGCCTGCAGCGGCGTGCCCCCTCCCGCGCTTCCCCCCCGGGCGCGCCACCGAGTCTCCTCGGCCCCAGCGGCAGGGTCCGCATGCGCCCCCCCGCCCCTGTCGGCACACCCCTCACGAGGCTCGTGGCCCCAGAAGGAGCTCCACCGCAGGCCCCAGCGGCACGGTCCGCATGTGCCCCCCCGCTCACTTCGACACACCCCTCACGAGGCTCGTGGCCCCATACGGAGCTCCACCGAAGGCCCCAGCGGCGGGGTCCGCATGCGCCCCCCCGCTCATTTCGGCACACCCCTCACGAGGCTCGTGGCCCCTACAGGGAGCTCCACCGACCGAGGCTGCGCGCACACGGGGGTACAGGGGGAGCGGGGGAGGCTTCTTAGAAGGGGGATGCTCCTCAGAGGGCGCGGGCACCACAGTACAGACAAGGCCAGCGCCCTCCAAGAGGCAGGGGTGCTTCTAGGAAGCCTTCCCCCCTCCCCCATGCCCCAGCCTCTGCGCGCGGTCGACTTTCCCTCCTCGTCTGAATGGACCTCCTGCTCGTCCCGTCCTCTCAAGGGAGGGGGGGGGCAGAGGTGTGCCTGGCCGCAAGAGGGTGTCCCAGCGTGGCCGCGGCTCCACACGCCCGAGATGGAGACGGACAAAAATGGTGCGATGCCAAACAGCAAAACCGAGAACGGCAGCTCTTGGGCAGGCGACTTCTGCCTCAAGGAGACGGCGTCCGCGGCGGCGACACAGACAGCGGACCCGGTGAAGCATGGGAAAGAACTGCTGTTTGCCTGCGTCCCGATTATTTCCGTGCCCGGTTCGATACGAGGCGGGGATTTATCCATATCCACCGCCTGGGAACCGACGTCCTGGTGCCCCAGCGGGCGGTGGATATGGATATATTTCGGCCCCCGGGGGCACGAATATGTCCAGATCCACCGCCTGCCGAGGCTCCGAAAACTGACCCTCCAGGCGGTGGTCATGTATACATTCCCGCCTCGGAGTTCCATACCTCCGCAGCAGTCGGGTGCTGCCAGAAGTGCCCCTGGCCCAGGATGCCCCCAGGATCGGCGGTGGACAAACCTCCCTTAGTGAAAACTGCCTGGGACCGAAACCGATGGACCTGGACCCGCAAAAATGACGGCCGCGACGCCCTCTCGCGAACCGAAAACGGCCAATTCCTTAATCGACGTGTCAGGGTAGGAGGTCTATCCACCTCCGACAGGATTCCCCAGGACCCCACGGCTTGCAGAGCACCCCTCGCGAGGCCCAGAGGGCCTCACGGGGGCTTCAGAAGGGAACGAAAGCTGGGGGCACTTCAGGCCCAGGGGCACCCCTGGCAAAGCCCCCGAGAGGGAGGAGGAGGAGGAGGAGGAGGAGGAGGAGGAGGAGGAGGAGGAGGAGGAGGAGGAGGAGGAGGAGGAGGAGGAGGAGTCCTTTTAGTAACCCCGGAAGCAGTGGCTTCGACAGAGCGCCTTCCCAGCGCCCCCCGATCCGGCGGAGAGGCCAGGACCAGCCCCACATTGACCCCAGGACCCCTGGCGGGACCGAAACCGACAAACATGCTCTGGCCTCGCACGGAAGCCGTGGCAACGAGGGGCCACGCTTTCCCCCCCCCTTTTCCCGTGCGGGGCCACCTCGCCCCCCCAGCCAGCTCCAAAGTTTTCTTCGGTGGCAGAACTCTCACGGGGGCTTTCCCATACCACCGTGCCTGCTTTTGCGAATCGACGCTAACTCGGCGCTCATCGAAGCTGGATCGACGCTAACCAACGTTACATCGGCGCTACCTCATCGACAACGGGACGCCACTCGATGCGAACCGACGTTATATATAGAATTGCGAAAGTACACGAAACTCCCCTGACTTGCGGCCGAATCATCCACTCGGGGAGACGTGAAACTCGGGTTCGGGGGACTCGGGTTGGCCTGACGGGGCCATCATGAAAATTCCAAGACCCAATCTGACATTCGACGCGAGTTCCCGCTACAGCCATCCGACCAAACTGGACCTTCATAATCTGGGACGCGTTCGTCCAAAGGCGCTGGCAAGCCCGAGCTCTGGCGCACTCGAGTCTTACGTTTCCCCGATCCACATTTTTCGCTTCGCAAAGTACAACGAATCCGCCGCCCCTGTTGGCATGTGGAAGAGGCTGTTCCGTTTGACTCGTCTTCACGTCTTCGTCGACGTCGATGTCGTCGTCGCCAGCGCCGCTCCCTCTCTTTCCCTGGGCCCGTCGCCGCTCCTTCCTTTTCCTGGGCCACCCTCCTCAAGCGCGCAAGCCAACGGCGAATTTGGACGCCTCGGAGGCCCGCGAACAAGACGACGTAACGAATGTCCCAAGGGAAGGAACCACGGGTACGACTTGCCCGGGGATATCGCACCCACGGGCCTGAAAAGCAGCGCGAAAAAAAAAACGAGTTGCACCATGGCCGACATAGGGACGCAACACGTTGTTGTTTGTTTTCTTTCGTCGCCCTGGAAGATGCAGTGGGGCCGCAGCTGCTCATTCGGCAGCCTGTCCGACCGTGCGATGGCGCGACGCGAGCTTGCGCGATCCTGCACGACATGGGTCGTGTAGACATCGACGGCAAGGGCTCTCAATGACAAGTCGCATCGTGCTCAAGTGATGGAATGCACTTCCAGCAATTCGCGCGGTCTCGGCGGTGGCTCTCCTGCCGCAGCCCTACGGGCGGAGCGAACGCATCCTGGAAGATAGTGGCAGCATTCGACTCCCCCATGTAAGTCCGCTCCGCATCCTGAAAGGCCTTGGACCCCCCGTCAGCACATGCATGAAAGCAGGCAGTGCGATGGCGCTGCCGAAGTACATCAGCGTCAGCATGGCTATGCGTGCGAGCAGCGACAACATCGAGCGACGAGTGTTGCACGGAAACGAACCTATGTCTCTTATCATGTTCCACGTCTGTCGTGGACACGCGGCCGCGCTGAGCCCTCCAGGTTGCAGCCGCAGTGGCGCGAACGGCGCCGGTGCGCGAACGACGCGGCAAGTATCCGTAGTCGCAGGAGGGAATGTCCCGGGCCACCCTCGGGGCCGCCCACGCCCGCATCTTCCCAGAGGAACAAAGCACGTGAAATAGTCGGGTACGCGGGGTCCGCAACTTCCCATTCTCTTTCGGTAGCTGGCAGGAAAACGATTGCTCCCACAGGGCCGCTTCGCGGCCGCGCTGGCGAACTTTAGCCAGGACAGCAGCTGTCCATCTCCGCGAGAGCTCGCCGCGCCCCCCCAGGAGCTGCGCCCCAAGTCCCCCTTCAGGGCGTCTAGAGAGGGGCGGCCAGACATCGTTGGGCGCGCTCCAAGGCACTGCAGCGCGATGTCTGCGCGCAGCGCAGAAACCATTCGAACGCATCCACGACCGACGGGAAGTCGCGGTCATCGTATCTCAAAGCGCAAGCGAGGACCAGTTCACCATCGATGGGCCTAGATGACTTCCCTCCTCGACTCAACGGTGAAGCTAGATCCTCCACCAACTCCTCCAAGTTAGGGGCGCACGCGACAACGCGCCCCAACCGACGTCGACGCGGTCCGACACCTGCTCCAGCCATTCGACGACATGCCCTCCACTCCTCCCATGCAAGGCCCTTGGACTCAGCTTCGGGAAGTTCCTCAGCCAACTGCGCCCCCTTCTGCCCTCTCAGTCTGCGACGAATTGCGCGGCGCTGTCGAGTGAGACAAGAAGCCCGGGATGCATCCTCTAGATTGTCAGTGACAGCCCCCCTAGCCCGACCACGAAGTCGAAGTGGACGAACGCGCTCTTGTGCGAGTGCATGATGCGAGGCTGGAAGGGCCTTGGGCGTGGCCTCGAACTGCTCAAAACTTACTTTCTGCAACAGCTGACAAATTTCTGCCGCGCGCACTCGATCGACTCCGAATCCTGGGCGAGCTGTTGAGCAGACGCGCGCCGTCTCGCTTCCAGTCGAATCCCGATCTCCTTCCCCGCTGCTCGCCTAAACTCATTTGCGTGGAACTCAATGCACGGGGCCGTGCCCGAGCCTGCTCAATGCATCTCTTACGGGCCTCTGAATCAACTCGACGCGGCATCATATCGATCACAAGGGTGTGCGCCATATGGTCCCGAGGTCGACTGTCTGGAATCGCTTGGAGCTGTCGGGCTGACCGAAACGCCCGCGTTAACCTCCGAACTTTGGGAACGGGAGCCGTCGGGGTCAGCGCGTGATCGATCCAGGCTGCGTTCTGCTGCTTCATGCACTTCGGCCGTTGAAAGGTCCGAGCCGCCAACAGAACGCTTGGCGACTGTGAGCCGCCCTCTCCTCAAGGAGCAGAACGGGATAGCGATCCGGACCCTCTAGCCTGAGACTCCGTCGCAGCCGAGGGCGGACCCTCGCCGCGTGGCGACGTCGAACCGAGCCCCCCTCGAGCAGCATGGAACTGCGGCAATCCCGCCCCTCGGGCGTGCGAAGCCGTCGCAGTTGTAAGTGGATCCAGACCAGGTGGCGGCGACGTGCCGAGACCTCCCCGAGGAGCAGACGGCTGCGGCGACCCTGGCCCTCGGCCCTGCGTTGCCGTCGCAAATCGAGGCGGGCCCTGGCCAGGCGGCGACGTCGAGCTGAGCCCTCTTTGAGGGGCAGAGGGCCGCAGCGATGCTGGCCCTCGAACCTTCTGCGTGGCGCCGCAGTAGCTGGGGCCGCCGCTGACGACAGCGTTGAGGAAGGACCGCTCGTACGTCTCGGCCAGTTCTCATAGAGCACTGCCCGTTTGGTGCTCCGCGTTTTTACCGTATTTGTCCCATGCCACACTGTCGATAGCCCATGCTTTCCGCTCTCCAACCCAACTCCATCGTTCAAATCAGTCGCCCCAGTCGGAAAGGCGCGGCACGGGGAAGACGAAAGAACATGCTGTCCAAAGCCACTCACGTTTGCAATGGTAGTGGTCTCTTGTAGCTGTTTTCTAGGGTCCCGCGCCAGCTGGAACTACGCTGCAACAGTGGGTCCATATCCGCAATAAGACCTCGCTGCGATAGCAGCCGCCCGCCCTCTGATATCTGGCGGGGCAGTTCTGATGCGCGCCACATATCTTGCACGTGCAGTGTTTTGACTGGAATAACATGTAACACCGCAGGAACAGTTAGTACGACACTCCTTCGGCAACCACCCGCAACGCGCGACTTTAGATCCAGGAAGGTCCTCCACATGGTATAGTGACTTCGGGGAACCCTTCCTCTGAGTACCAACCAGGGCAATACTATCTACCAGTTGGGAACCGTATCCAACTCGATATCACGATTAAACATTGACAATGGGTCCTAATACAATACACGCATGTTCACGACGTTCACACCTGAATCATCGACTTCCTTATCACTGCGCACGTTCGGGCCCTCTGGAGACACCGTGAGGCTCTGTAAAACGCCGAACTCAACAAACACCCACACAAACGAGACAAACACAACAAAACACCATGAAGTATAGGGAATGGGAGGGTACGGCAGGGCGGCGTGGGGGCCAGCCTCGACGTCGGGGTTACCGAAGACACCCCACCTGCTGTGCAGCCGCTGGTGCATTGACATCTGGGCCGCGCGTCCACGAGGAGGAGGAGGAGGGAAAGGCGAAGGAAAAGGAGGAAGGGGAGGAGGAGGAGAAGGAGGAGGAGAAGGATAAGGAGAGGAGTAGGAGGAGAAGGAGGAGGAGGATAAGGAAGGAGAAGGAGGAGGAGAGGAGTAGGAGGAGTAGGAGGAGGCGGAGGAGGAGAGAGAAGGAAAAGAAGGAGAGAGGAGGAGAGGAGGAGGAGGAGGCGGAGGAGGAGACGGAGGAGGAGACGGAGGGGAGGAGGAGGGAAAGGAGAGAGGAGGAGGAGGAGGAGGAGGAAGAGGAGGGGAGGAAGGAGGGGGGGAGGAGAATCGTGTCTCATCGCCACCCACTCCGGCAGGGGCGCCCCCCCCCCCCCCGAAGGCAGCGGCCGCTCCGCGAAGCCCTCGGCCGCCCGCGACCAGCAGGCCGCGGCCGCCGCGGCGGGCCCGCCGTCGAGCAGGCGGCGGGCGGCCTCCGCAAAGGCCTCGGCGCATTGGGCCGCGGGGGGGGGCATCGGGCCCATGGGTCCGACGCTCGGAAGAAGTTGTCGCCTCCTCCTCCTCCTCCTCCTCCTCGTCCTCATCGTCCTCCTCCTCGTCCTCCTCTTCGTCCTCCTCGTCCTCCTCCTCCTCGTCCTCCTCCTCGTCCTCCTCTTCGTCCTCCTCGTCCTCGTCCTCGTCCTCCTCCTCCTCCTCCTCCTCCTCGTCCTCCTCCTCCTCCTCCTCCTCCTCCTCGTCCTCCTCGTCCTCGTCCTCCTCGTCCTCGTCCTTGTTCTCGTCCAACTCCTCGTCCTCCTCGTCCTCCTCGTCTTCCTCGTCCTCCTCCGCCTCCTCTTCTTCTTCCTCCTCCTCGTCCTCGTCCTCGACTTCGTACTCGTCTTTCTCATCCTCCTCCTCCACCTCCTCCTCGACGGGCGGTCTTTCGCGCTCCTCGCTGGGCACCGGGGCCGTCCACAAGACGGCCCAGGACGGCAAGCTGGCCCGTCCGGCCCAGCAGAGATGCGACGCGCCAGACACGGTGGCGCGGGCGGCTTTTTGTTTGTGGCCCCGCGTGCCCAAGCCCCCTCGCGCTGTGACAATGGGAGGAGGAGAGAGGAGGAGAGAGGAGGAGAGAGGAGGAGGAGGAGGAGAAGGAGGAGGAGGAGGAGGAGGAGGAGGAGGAGGAGGAGGAGGAGGAGGAGGGGGGAGGAGGAGGAGGAGGAGGAGGAGGAGGAGGAGGAGGAGGAGGAGGAGGAGGAGGAGGAGGAGGAGTAGGAGGACGGAGGAGGGAGGAGGGACGGGAGGTTCTTCCGGCCTCCGTGGGCCCTCGCAGGGCCCTGGAAGCGTCGGGAAACGACTCAGGGCCACGAGCCGGTCCCCGGGGGGGGGGTCCAGGTTTCTGGGGGTCGACGCTGCGACAAACAGAATCACGACGTCGGGGATCCGGGTACTCCAGATTTCGTAATAAAAGGGAGGGGGTCTGGACCCTCCAAGACAAGCCATTTCAGACCTCCCCCGTGGGAGAACCCTCCAAAACATCGTCCCCAGACCCCCCAGGCCCTCCAAGATAGCCTGGAGGAGACCCCCCCCCCTGAAATGAGACCCCCCTCCCTTTATTACGAAATCTGGAGTAAACGGGGAGGCGCCGGGTGACACACAGGGGGGGGGGTGGCGGGGATCGAGGGCCGCAGGAAGGGGGCCCTTCAGGGTCCCTAGGAAGGGGGCCCCGAGAAGGTCGTGGTGTGGACGCCATGACAATATCGAAATCCCACCAGCCCTTTAGGGCGTGAGTGGTTTAGAGAGCCCCCTCTGTCCTCAACCCCCCTCTTCCCCTTCGGGGAGGGGTTTACCCCTCCCCCTACCCCCTCCCCCTGGGCCTGGAGAGGGAGTTCCGCGGGTGGTCAGGGGGGTCTTTTTCGACGCCTGGGAGGGCCAAAAAACGACGACCCTCACGAGGATTCTGGCCCCGACGGGGGGGCACTCTTGTAGCCCCCTCCTCTTCTGTGAAGCCAAAATCATTGCTTTTACGATGGTTTTGGCCCCATTTTGGCTCCCGAGGGGGCCGCGCTCATCTTCCTTCATAGCAAAATCATTGATTTTACGATGGTTTTGGGCTCATTTTGTCCTTCTCAGGGGGCAGCGCTTCTTTGCGCTTCTGAGGAGGTCGCAAGAGGCCCCAAGATGGCCCCAAGAGGTCCCCAGGAGCCTCCCAAGAGGCCTCCAAGAGGCCCCCAAGAGGCCCCCAAGAGGCCCCAAGAGGCCCCCAAGAGGCCCCCAAGAGGCCTCCAAGAGGCCCCCAGAGGCCCCAGGAGGCCCCCAAGAGGCCCCCAAGAGGCCCCCAAGAGGCCCCCAAGAGGCCCCAAGAGGCTCCAAGAGGCCCCCAAGAGGCCCCACGAGGAGCCCGAACGACTCACACCAGGACGAGGGGCCCGAACGACTCACACCACGAAGAGCCCGAACGACTCACACCACAAGACTCACACCACAAGGAGGGGCCCGAACGACTCACACCAGGACGAGGCGCCCGAACGACTCACACCACGAGGAGCCCGAACGACTCACACCACGACGCGGGCCCCGAACGACTCACACCACGAGGAGCCCGAACGAGTCACACCAGGCCCCGAACGACTCCACCAGGATGAGGGGCCCGAACAACTCACACCACGAGAAGCCCGAACGACTCACACCAGGACGAAGAGCCCGAACGACTCACACCACGAAGAGCCCGAACGACTCACACCAGGAAGAAGGGCCCGAACGACTCACACCAGGACGAGAAACCCCAAACGACTCAAATCACGAGGAGCGCTTTCTCTCCCTCCTCCTCCGCCTCGTCCTTCTCCCGCTTCCCCCACAAGGAGGATGTACAAGGAGGCGGGAGGAAGGATGAACAGGGGAGATATGCGGGGCCAAATGGACACACGCCTGAAAAACACGACTGTCGGCATGCGTCGCATGAGTTGCTGTTGTGAGATGGGCTGGTGGGGATACGCGAAGCGTAAAGAATTCCTGTCTGGAAACTGTATAACACATGTTTCAGGCATGTCTTTCTGCATGTTCGAGACATGGTTTAAACATGTTCTAGACATCTGGAAACAATCTGACAACATGCCTCTTCTCCATTGATCGTCTTCCACAACGAGAAGGGGCCTTCAGGGCCCACGAAGTGCACTTCTGTCGCCCCCCCCAGGTCTGTCCTGGGGTGCGTTCTGACTAGCATGTCGATGCGGATCTAAAGGCGGCAACGACGAAGCTTCCACGGAACCTCAGAACAAGAAGAACAACATGGTATGAACATAATCTTTTGGCGCTCTGCGCGGGTGTCTTCGAACCGCGCTCGCCCCCCCCAGCGGCGCCTCCGGCGCCGCCCCTGGCGCCAGGGAAGGGGGCCCAGCGCGGATCCAAGAAACCCGCGCGGAGCGCTCAAAGTTATGTTTATGAGTATCGTTTAAACAATCCCCATCCCCACCAGCGTGGGCTGGGCCCCACTGGCCGATTTACCCCCCTGGATGGGGATATAGGCCGTTCCCTTCGGGTTTCGAGGGGTGTATCCCCAACTGGGGTGGTAATTTGGTGGGGGTCTCGAAGGAGATGGAGATGGGGATGGGGATCGGTTAAACGATACCGAGTTTATGCCGCTTCTTTCTTCTTCGAAGAACGGCGCCCGAAGCTGGACCCGCGAGCCTCGCTCCTCCTGAACCCCCCCCCCTTCCCAGCCCTCCCCGTGCGTCCGCGTGGGCCGCCAGAGCCCGTCCAAGCTGCAGGCATCGTCTGCTTACGGCGTCTGTTTGCAAGGCGATCGATCGGCGAAACCGACGCGTCGACTTCCTTGGATGTCCACCCGCTTGCACCAACTGCCGGCGGCACGCTCAGGCGAGGCAGCGGGCTTCCTCAGAAGGCCCGAAGGCCTGTAAGGCCCCCTGAGAGAAACTTCGCGAAGCCTTCCGAAGCCACGGAGGTGAGACGACGCCAGGACGAGGACAACATCGGGTAATAAGCAGATCGAGAATCTCTGCGATCCGGCGGCTCTGGAGGACGTCTCGAAGCCACAGAGGTGAGACGACGCCAGAACGAAGACAACATCGGGTGAGGATCACGCCGAGAATATCTGCGACCCGGCAACTCTGGAGGACGCCTCGGGCGCCACGGCCTTCTCACAACGTTCTGGGCCGCCCTGAGAGCGCCGCGGCACACGCTCCGGGACGGACTTGTCCTCGTCCCAGGGCCCCGCAGAGATCCGACGTCGAGATTTTTTCAATGCGGGGTCCCCAGAAGTCTCGACCCATTCCCCAGGACCAGTTTTCATCCTGCGTCGTTTTTGACGGTCCCGAGGCCAGGCGAGGGCCCCCGGGGGCCGAACTTTGCGAAACACCTCCGTCTTGTTTTTTTCAATGCGTTGGATCTCTGGGCTTGCCCTCGTCCCAGAGCCCCGCCCGAAGAGGGCTCCTCAGCACGCTGGAACTTCCAGCGTGCTGGCGCAATACAATGCAATACAATTCTCTGGCGCAATACGTTTGCAATACAATTGCCTTAAATTTATTGCACCACCCCCTTGTAGCTGGACCCCCTTTTGGGTCGCCCAGAGGAAGGCTTCTGAGAAGCCCTGCCGCCGCCCGAGAGGGGCCCTTCCCTCCTCGGCGCGCCGCCGGAGCTGCGCTGCCATGGCCCTGCGGCCCCCCCTCCGGCTGGCTAGGCACAACAGGAGCCCTAACCCCTGTGGGAGGCGACCTGAGCTGGGAGGGCCAGGAGCATCAGGGATACAGCTGAGGCGTTGACCCAAGGAACCCTAAATAAGGAACGAAGCCCCCTTTTTTCCTATGAATTAAACACCGATTTCCCATGGTAAACCTCAGGAATACCCAAGGAGCACTGTAAAACAACTAAGGAGCACGGAGCCCCTCCCAAACGAAAAGGATTCCTTCTTCAGCGCTCCGACTGTAGGGGGTCTTTCGTACAAGTGTATCAAGCCAAACCGCCCAGATCTGTGATACCTAACGCAAAAGCGGGGACCTCGGTGAGGCCACGTCTTCCTCGTGGTTAACGCAACAAGCAGTGGCATTGATATAACAACTCGGAGGTCCGCGCGGGTTGCTCGATTCGGCGCTTGACCCCGGCGCGCGGAGCGCGCCACGGGCGGCGCTGGAGGTACCGCGACGGGGTCCAGCGCGGATCCGAGGATTCGGCGGGGACCTCCGAGCATTTATGTCCATGCCATTCGACGCTTCCCTGTGTTCGGGGGTCCAAGGTTCTGGTGCCCTCGCTTGTAGAAGGGCCCCTCCTCCCTCGTCGCGCCGCCGAAGCTGCCCTGCCGCCCCCCCCTGCAGGGCCTCGGGGATGGACAGAACCCCCTCCAGTAAACCGTGGTTCAGTGAACACGACCTCGGGCCCAAGCCTGGCAGGCGCAAGCCTGGAAGCTGACGGCCACTAATCGACGTGTCAGGGTGGGGGTTCTGTCCACCCCTGAGGGCCAGGAGACGGACCTCCCTGGACCCCCGCAGCCCCCATGACTCTTCTGATCCCCCCCCCCTTCCTCTTCCTCCTCCTCCCCGTCCTCCTCCTCCTCCTCGTCCTCCTCCTCCTCCTCCCCTCCTCCTCCTCCTCCTCCCCTCCTCCTCCTCCTCCTCCTCTCCTCCTCCTCGTCCTCCTCCTCCTCCTCCTCCTCCTCCTCCTCCTCCTCCTTCTCGTTCTCCTCCTCCTCCTCCCCCTCCCCCCTCCTCCTCCCCCCTCCCGCCCTCGGCGCGCCGCGAGGGCGGCCCTGCCCCCCCCCCCCCCGTGCCGCCCGATGCGGCCCTCCCCGAGCGGCACGGGGCCGCGCGCGGCACGGGGCGGCGCCCGCCGCCCGCCCGCGCCGCGCGCCGCGCTCGGGCTCGGGCTGCGCGGTGTTGTGCGTTGTTGCTGCTGCTGCTCTTGCTGCTGGTGCTGTTGCTGTTGGCGGTGGTGGTGGTGGTGCTGTTGCCGTCAGATGCTGTTGCTGTGGCTGTCGTCGCCGTCGTTGTTATGTGCTCTTGTTGCGTGTGTGTGTGTGTTTGTGTGTGGTGTTGATGTGTTTGTTTCAACGTGGCGGTCCGATGTGTGTTGTTGTTATTGTTGCTTTTGTTGTTGTTGTTGTTGTTGTTGTTGTTGTTGTTGTTCTTGTTGTTGTTGTTGTTGTTGTTGTTATTGTTGTTATGGGTTGCTGTTGTTGTTGGTGTTGCTGTAAGTGTTGACGGTATGTGCTGTTGCTGCTGTTGGTGGTGAGGCTGCTGCGTTTGTTGTTGCTCTTGTTATGTGTTGTTGGTGGTGCTGTTACGGTTGCTCTTGCTGTTGCTGCGTTTGTTGCTATTAATGTTATGTGTTGTTGGTGTTGCTGTTACGGGTGTTGTTGGTGTTGCTGTTACGGTTGTTCGTGCTGTTGCTGCTGCTGCTGTTGTTGTGGTTGTGGTTGATGTTTTGGTTGTGGTTGTGGTTGTTGTGGTTGAATTCTCAGTTTTAGAAAATGAGTATTGCTCATCTCCGGAAATGTTCCCGCGCGCTCTCGCCTGGACGACGGCTACATTGTCCCAGAAAACGAGGCTCCCGCGCGAGCGTTGGCTTGAGTGTACATGTGTGCCCTTGGAGGCTCGGCTGCAATGACAACGGCTCCTGCTCGATACTTCCTCACAATTTACCCCGAGACACCCTGGCCAGAGAGGCCCCCGAACTCAGGATCGGCGCTCTCGCTCGAGAGTTCCTCGCAGTTCACGCAGATTGACGGAGGCCCAGCCACGACGATAAGGGCTCCTGCTCGATACCTTCTCACGATTTACTCCGAGAGCCCCTGGCAAGGAAGGCCCCCGAACTCAGGAACGGCGCTCTCGCTCGAGACCTTCTCGTGATTCAGTCAAGTTGGTGGAGGCCCAAATACGACGACAAAGGCTCCCGTTCGAATCTTCCTCAAGATGCATTCGCATAGATCCTTGCCAGAGAAGCCCCTGAACTCAAGAGTGGCACTCTCGCTCGAGCTTGTTCTCGTACAGGCAAGTTGGTGGAGGCCCCAGACACGGCGACAATGGTTCTCGTTCGATTTTTCATAATCTGTATTTCGAGAGCCCCTGGCCTGGTCACAGAGGCCCCCGAACTCAGGAACTGCGCTCTCGCTGGAGAGTTCCTTGCACTTGAGTCAGTGGCCGACACGGAAGCTACTCCACCAAGAAAGGGACTGCGATCGAAGCCGAAGTGGGCGGGCATCGAGGCTTGGAGGTATACATAATGCAAAAAACACGCGTGCCAATAAGAACGAACATGTTCATAATATTGTTGAGGAATAATTATTGTTGATCCCCCCCGTCCGGTGCACATGGTGTTTTCTTGATTGAAGTGCCCTTCCCGGGGGTCGCACCCTGTTTTTTATCAAAGAAAGTTTTGGGCGTCAAACTGTGTCGTTGGCCCCCGGGTTACAACAACAACGGCTCCTGCCTGATAGTTCGTCTCAATTTCACCAGAATCCCCGTTCCCGCCCGGGCACTCCTTGCATTTAATTCAGGAGTCGCGCTCTCGCTTGGGACTTCCTTACGATTTATTCAAGAATCGCTCTCCTGGCTCTGGGGTCGCGCTCTCGCTGGAGATTTGCTTGCAATGTCTTGAACAATAGCGTCCTTGTACTGAAAATGCTTGCAATGTATTCGAGCGCCGTGCTCCCGACACCCAGGCGCCCTGGACTCGCGCTCACGTTTAGGACTCCCTCACAATTTACCAAAGAATCGGGATGTCGCTGCCCTTCGAGGCCCCGTTGCAGCCCTTCGTGGCCCCCTCGCTTTGTTTCGTGGCCCCGTTGCAGCCCTTCGTGGCCCCCTCGCTGCCCTTCGCGGCCCCGTTGCAGCCCCTCGTGGCCTCCTCGCTGCCCTTCGTGGCCCCGTTGCAGCCCTTCGTGGCCCCTGGCCTTGTTTCGTGGTCCCGTTGCAGCCTTCGTGGCCCCCTCGCTGCCCTTCGTGGCCCCGTCGCAGCCCTTCGTGGCCCCGTTGCAGCCCTTCGTGGCCCCCTCGCTGCCCTTCGTGGCCCCCTCGTGGCCCCATATATGTATGCCCTTCGTGGCCCCCGCTCGTTCGCGCCCATGGTGACCGCATATGCATGCCCTTCGTGGCCCCGCTGTCGCCCTTCGTGGCCCCCTCGCTTCCGTTCGTGGCCCCGTTGCTGCCCTCAGTGGCCCCGTCCTTGCCCTCCGCGGCCCAGTATACGTATGCCCTTCGTGGCCCCCGTTCGTTCGCGCCCGTTGTGGCCCCATGTGCATGCCCTTCGTGGCCCCGCTGTCGCCGTTCGTGGCCCCCTGACTGTCCTACGTGGCCCAGTTGCTACCTGCAGTGGCCCCGTCGTTGCCTTATGTGGCCCCGCATGATCTGCCCTTCGTGGCCCCCGATCGTTCGCGCCCGTCGTGGCCCCATGCGCATGCCCTTCGTGGCCCCGTTGTTGCCTTTCGTGGCCCCCTTCCTGCCCTTCGTGTTCGTGGCCCCGCTGTCGCCCTTCGTGGCTCCGTTGCAGCCCTTCGTGGCCCCGTTGCTGCCCTTTGTGGCCCCGTCCTTGCTCTCCGCGGCCCAGTATACGTATGCCCTTCGTGGCCCCCGCTCGTTGGCACTCTTCCTGGCCCCATACGCATTCCCTTCGTGTCCCCGCTGTCGCCCTTCGTGGCCTACTTCGTGTCCTTGTGGCCCTGCTGTCGTTCTCTCTCGCTCTCGCTTTCGCTCGTCGTCGTCGTCGTCGTCGTCGTCGTCGTCGTCGTCGTCGTCGTCGTCGTCGTCGTTGTCGTCGTCGGTCCCCTGTCCGTCCCTCTTGGGGTCGGGTCGACGGTCCGCGGCCGCCCCGCCGATCAGCGTTGCCGCTGGCCAGGCTGACGGTCCGCGGCCGCCCCGCCGCTTGCCGGGGCCCGGCCTGCAGGGAAGGTATACCCCCCAAAAGGGGTTCGATCGAAGACGAAGAGGGCGGGTATCGAGGGTTTGGGAAATACGCGTTATTGGACACTCGAGCAGATAAGGGCGAGCAGTCTAAAAGTGATTGTTGTTGTTGTTGTTGTTGTTGTGTTTACGTTTCGCTGCTGTTTTCTGCTTCCGTTTCGTGTTCGTTGTTCCTTTACGTTTTTGCTTGTGTCATTCGTCGTGCTCGCTTCGTCGCTTTCGCTTCCCTTCGCTCTGTCTTCGGTCTGCCCCTGGCCCCTGCTGCAGCGGCGGAGCCAAAACGAACACGGCCCACGAACAGCTCGCAAGAGCACCGTGCAGCTCGACCCCTGCACCGAGCCGCGGGCCGACCCGTCGCCCAGCGCCGGCCTGGCGGTGCCTGCGCTCCTCGGGGCCGCGCGGGGGCGCCCGCCTCCACCGACGTCGAGGGTCGAGTTTCGAGGGTCCAGTCTTATACAAGGACCTAAGAACCTTCTACACGACTCTTGTATTAACTGCATGGACATAAACTTTTTGGCGCTCCGCGATGACTTCTTGGGGTCCGGTTGGCTGTTGATAAGACAGTCGGTCACTCTGGCTTGCTGCCCTGTTCTGCATGTTGCACGTGCGTGGGTTGGCGCCCTCTTGGCGGCTTCCTCCAGTCGTGGCCTGGCCTTCACTAATTATCTGGCATTACGCCCCATTGCCTTTTGACACGCCCTCTGGACTTTTCCTTGCGGGCCGCCCGCCGATCAAAAAAAAAGCGGACTTCTTGGATCCGCGCTGGGCCCCCCTCCGTGGCGCGCGGAGCGCGCCATGGTCGAGCTCCGAGCTAGGTCCGGCAAGAGCGACTGCAGGCGGTCCACCGCCATATCGCGCGAAGGAGCGCAGACTCTGAGATTTTCAGAAGATTTGGGCATGTCGTCTCGGCGGACCTGGACCTCCTCTAGTAGAACTGCCGAACCTAAGCTTCGAGGGTCGAGTCTTATACACAAATAGCAAAAAAGGCATAGACATAAACTGTTGGCGCTCCGCGCGGATTGCTTGGATCTGCGCTGGACCCCCCTCCCTGGCGCACGCCAGGGGCTGCGCCGGAGGCGCCGACGGGGGTGCCCAGCGCGGATCCAAGAAATCCGCGCCAAGAGCCAACAGTTTATGTTTATGCACATGTTGGTTCTTCCAAAAAAGGCAAATCTGGTAATAAATGAGGCAGCGCCGATCAAGCGTCGATAGCGTCGGTCAGCTTCTAGGCTTCCCAGATGGGGTCGGGGGGGTCCTAGGGGCGCAGCTGTAGTGCACGGGTGTGTTGCCTCAGGGGGAAGCTGGCAAGGGTCCCTCGCCAGACTGACATTCGGTAGCCAATCTTCGGGAGCCGTGTATGCCATCTTCATCGCGTCTCTGGCGTCGACTGGCGTCGAGCATCGTCAGGTAACCAATGAAATAGCGCCGATCTAGCGTCGATAGCGTTGGTTAGCTTCTAAGCCTCCCAGATGGGGTCGGAGCAGATGGGGTCGGAGGGTCGCGCCTTGGAGGGAAGTCTCGGGACATCCAAAACAATCGTCGAAGTATGTCGTCCGGGCGGCCATCTCGCAGACAAATACAAATTTCGAGCCAGGAGAATACCAAAACAAAGGGTGGTGGGGTTCGTACCCTCAGATCCAGATCCTCTCTCCGAACGTGCCTCCGAATTTGTAGTTAACCGAATCATCCGGTCGACAAACCAGAGAAACTTGACTCTGGAAGCGAGGTTCCATGTGTGCCGTCCACTCCGAATTGCATTCGCTGTGTCCAAAGCTGCACCCGAATATCGGTCTTCAGGAGGAGCGGCAGAAAGACGATCTCGAGGACGAGCAGAACGAATAGGAGAAGGATGTGACCGAGTATGAGTGGGAGGAGGGGCGGGATTTGGGGGGAAGTTTCGGAACATCTGCTCGGAGCCCATCTGGGAGGCCTCGACCCAAACCCCCGACGTCGTCATTTTTCCTAACCATCCTGTGATGTTGGGTCCTCGTTTTGAAGAGACAGCGCCCCGCGTTCCTCACTCCTTCATCCTCCCCCTCCTCCCCTCCCCCTCCTCCTCCCTCCCTGCGTTTCACCCACCCAGTACAGCGTTTCGGGGCCCGGAGGGAGCTCCACCGAAGGCCCAAATGGCAGGGCTCGCATGGTGGCCCCGCGTGTTGGCGCACCCCTCACACGGTTCGTGGCCCACTAGGGAGCTCCACCGAACGCCTCAGTGGCAGGGTTCGCATGGCGGCTCCGCCCCATTTTGGCGCACCCCTCACACGGTTCCTGGCACACTAGGGAGCTCAACCGAACGCCCCAGTGGCAGGGTTTGCATGGCGGCCCAGCCCCATTGTGGCGCACCCCTCACACAGTTCGTGGCCCCATAGGGGCTAGCTCCTCTGAATGAGTGGCAGGGTTCGCGTTGCGGCCTCGGGCCATTTCGGCACACCTCTCACGAGGATCGTAGCCCCATAGAGGGCTCCACCGAAGGCCCCAGTGGCAGGGTTCGCATGGCGGCTCCGCCCCATTTGGGCGCACCCCTCGCACGGTTCGTGGCCCCATTGGGAATCCCCCTTGCTTCGTCCCGCCTGCCCTGCGGTTCTCGCACTTGCGCCTGGCTGGGTGCCTCGCCAGGATCACTTCGCCGCGCCGACCCCCAGAGGTCTGGACCCCTTCTTCCCTTGGACTGGTCTTTCATCCAGAGCTTTTTGCTGGCAGTCCCGAGGCCCAAGATGGCGAAAGACCTCCCGCCGCGCGTCGGTGAACCTCTTGCCGTCGTGCCCGGCCAGGGGCGGACGGCAACTGGCACGGGCGGGAGCTGGACGCACACCCTGGCCGCCCGCAGGCGCCCGAAGCGGACGAATTGCTCACATCCTCGTCCTCGTCACGCGGAAGGGGCCCACAA